ATTTGTCTGAAATGAATTCTTTATTTTTTTTTATGAATAGCGGATTGAATTGTATTAATCTAAAAATAAAAAATGGAGTCATTTTAGAACTAAGCAATACTGGAATTGCAAATGAATTTTATATAAATATATTGTACTTGATGTAATTTAAAAAATAAACAATTTAAATTATCAAAATAAGATCTAAAGTGAACCTAAAAGGCTACACAGTGGCCGCCACCCTGATTCCAGTGAGTTATGACATTTTCAACCTTACTTAAGTATTGACTCAAAACTTAAATTTGAGTAAGAAGTTAAAATTCCACCCCCTCATCTATTCAAATCTATACCAAATTTAGTTTTACTCCAATTTTGACTCAAATCAAGGGAGATACATTCCTTTTTACTCAAATTTCTATGCAATCAGAGCTTGACACAGTTGCTTCTATCCAAAAATTTCAAATTATCGTTCACTCCAATTCCTAGCTACAACCACTCAAAACTTGACAATTTGTACTTAAATTTGAAATTTTCCATTTAAGTGCTTCATATCAAATGAAGCTTTTTTACTCAAACACATACCTCATTTTGAGTAAAACTACGAAGGGTTGGAAATAGACTTAGAAAAAAAAGTGGTATGGATAGGGTTAGTGATGGGCTATGGAAGATGGGAAAAAAATGCAAAGGAAGAAGAGAGAGAACAAATAGAGCAATTCCATCTAAAAAAATAAAATAGTGAAATAAAAAAATATATATATAAGAAATACAGCATATCGTAATTGATTGGCCTAATTTCAGCATTTCTGTAATTTGTACACCCAAATTGAATAACATTGGCCTAATTTCGAAAACATCTCACCCCAAGCATTGCCCTAAATTTTAATTTCAATCACAATGCCCTAATTTCCAGCATTCACATTCTGATTTCTGTGTGTGTGTATATATATATATATGTATGTATGTATGTGTGTGTTTGTAAATAGAGAGAGAGCGAAAGAGAGAGGGAAATCGAGAGGGAGATATAGAGAGAGGGAGAGACAGATGCGAAATGGAGGACATACCTGGGACGGAGACTATGCGATGATCCTGATGTACTTGCGGTGATGGCGATGGAGACAAAGCTATAGAGAAGAGGGCAGAGGTGTGAGTGAGACCCAGTCAAAAACTAAATTTAGTCGATTATATAGGGAATCAAGGTTGTGTATATATGATTTGTGTGTGTGCGTATATATATATATATATATGCATGTATGTGTGTGTGTAAACAGCGAGAGAGAGAAAGATGGAGACCGAGAGGCCATACAGAGAATGAGACACAAATCGAGAATGAGGTACAGAGAGATAGCGAGAGAGAGAAAGAGACGAAATAGAGGACATACCTGCAGGTGATGGAGATGGAAACAGAGCAGTGACAGAGGTGGGAGTGCGAGAGGGAGGGAAATGGACTTCTGTTGCAATAAAAATAAAACCACAAAATGTTTATTCCTGACCAAAATTAATTTTGGTCGTTAGTATATTTATGAAAAATTAAATATTCCCTCCAAACGATTTTGTCCCGTTTGGCTACTGAATTAGAGTCGGTAAAGCAAACAGATTTAGTGACCAAAATTGAAATAGTCGCCCGGCCCCTTATTTTGCACGACTAACACACATTTGTAGCCAAAAATTCATTAATAATATCTCTGAAAATGTGCTTTTCCACGACTAACACACATTTAGTAGCTAAAAATTAAATAAAAACCAATAATTTTTTTTTATAATTTATAAAGACAGTGCAATTAGCGACCAACATCATCTTTAGTCGCCAAAAGTAAAGACAATTCCGACAACATGTATATTTAGTAGCAAAATAGTGGACTTTTACAGACCAAAAAGGTTTGGCAGCTGATGCATGTACCTTTGGCGACCAAATATTATTTGGTAGCTAATCTGTCCACCATTGGCGACCAACAAATTTTTAGTAACTAATTGGTATACCTTTGACAACTAAATTTACTTTAGTCGGCAAAATTATTCGCCGAATGTGTTCTTTGTTGTAGTGCTAACAAATATCTCTATTATGAAAATATAAAACTTTAAAATAATATAACTTTTGATGTAGCTGCCGAATTTTAAGAAAATTAATATTTTTAGAATTCTTTCATTAAGAATCAAATAAGATTCATGTTAATTATGAAATTCTTTTAAAAGCAAAAATTATTACTGTTGAAATTGATATAAATAGTAACAGTTACTCTATTTGACAATCACTTTATTTGACAGTAACATATTACTTTGTCTCACAGTAATATGTTACTCTGGTTCATAACAACATGTTGCTTTGGCAATATTGTTCAAGAAAGGGAAAAAAAAAAAAAAAATTATCCTTACTCAATTATGTGTTTTCTTCTTAGAGGGTTTATGAAAAAAAATAAATTAAACTATCATTTTCACCAAATAAGGGTCCAATGGAGACATTTTAATTAAATTTTCCAATGAAAAATGAATGAACATGTCAAAAATTGAAAAAGGTGCCCATCGGAGCTTTTGTTGGGCCTTAGTTGCACTGAACTGCCATCCATCACTCTGTTGCCCCCACTGGGGTTACAAGCTAACATTTCTAGGCCCGGCGATTAATTAACCATTTTACACTCCTTATAAAATAAATAAATTCTTTCCACTTTAGCGATGTGGGACTTAATTACTATGTATAACAAACTTTTTAATTAAATCATATATGTGATGTTAGTGTCTCTCTCTCTCTCTCTCTCCTACCTCAAAACTCATTTCAGACAAATGAAATCTTTTTTTTTTTTCCTATGAATAGCTGATTGAATTGTATTAATCTAAAAATAAAAAATTGAGTCATTTTAGAACTAAGCAATACTGGAAATGTAAATGAAGGTATTTTAAGAATTTTTCTAAAAATCATATGAGTGTACATGTATAACATTTTTTTTATTATAAATACTCATATTTTATATAGAATAATGTTATACAAACTAAATAATAGGAGTTAATTTGTGTTGGAACAATCTTCTGTGTAAATAAAAAAAATTGAAACTAATTCAAACAAAATAAATAACGTACCGAGTTTATTTATCGAACCGAATTAAAAAGAAAAGACCATGTCGAATGTGTGACACTCTGTCCTTAAGACAGATTCGCCCCCCTACGGTGCTTACAGTTGAGTGGCGTCTATCTCCCAGGATACAATGATCTTCACAAAATTGTTGTGGCACACCAAACAAATTTGTACGGCGAACCAAACCTGTGTTCTATACTCTCTTTGTTTTTTCCTAAAATTATATATGAAGAATATATGCACTAGAGCAAAGTGGACAGCAAATGATACAATTTCCAGACTGATTTTCGGATCCTTAACACTACTGGAATGTTGGTATTTATAGGCAACTAAATTTAACCAGAACAGGTGCAATGTGGAAGTGAACAGGTGTAAACTGTTTCAAACAGATTCACAGCATTTACATACCCGAATCTGTCTAGAAAACAGTTTGGAATTGCTGGACAGTTACAACAGTTAATACCTGTTTGAAAATTGAATCTATTTGGCAGATTCTGTATGGAATTTGAACAGTAGGAGGCACAAATTTTGGACTAAAATTTGAATTCAAATTCAAATTATAAAAATGCAAAATTCAAATTAATTTTTCCTGCAAGAATTTATTAAAAAATTTCAAATAAATTTTGTCCAAAAAATTAATGTTAGACCCGACCCACCACCCACACCCGGCATGGCTCGACGGGACGGTGGCGTGCGCGTGTGGTGGTTTAGGCTAAGGTTCACTTTGTCCATAACTCCTCCCTTCTACAAACTTGGAGTGCCCCTTGAGGCCCAACTCAAGTATTGTACGCTAAAGCTTATATACGCAAATAAACTATCTTAAAGTTTCAATGTGGGACAATCTATTAAAAGGAAACCCACATGTAAATCTTTAAATGTCCATTCTTCGAACCCGAAAACGACGTCATGCTCCCATTAAATAATTTTGACGAACCGTCTTCACCGTGTGACTTGCCACGCGGCAAGGAACACTTCACCTCTTCGAACCCACCCGAAAAGACGTTCGGGGCCCACTCAATTTTGGACTCAAAGTTGGCCCAAAATAAGCCTATATAAACCAATTTTCCAACAATTTGGTGGTTGAAATACTCCTTTATTTGCGATAATATTCCATATTTTCCTTTATCTCTTAGTAAAAATTGAAATACTTTTGTGATAATGTTCTGTGTTTTCATTTATCTCTTAGTAAAAAAAATTATTATACAACTAATAATATTATTTCTCTATTCAGATGACTAAATCATTGAGGAAAAGTGATAGTATTATTTGAATTACAGCTTTAATGGAACTAAATATAATTATATCAAAAATTGTAAAACTCATTATGTATTTTTTTTAAACCTCAACAAAAATCAATGCAATTTATCCAATCCTTCCCCCCCCCCCCCCTTTTGTAGGGTTATTTATTAAAGTTAAATATTTAATTTTATTATTCATGTACTTGATGGAACCCATGGTGAACATTATTGAACAATAAAGAAAATGAGCCACTAGTGGGAGTTTGTTTTGTTTTGCTTTTTTGTTTTTGTTTTTGTTTGTTTTGTTTTAGTTTTATTTTTATTTATTTTTTTGTCTTACACTAGTGGAAGTTTAATTATATATATTTTGCTCTGTTATAATAATTTATTTATTAATTTATCATAACTCGCTGAGGCTATATTATATCATGCGCCTTGTCTCTTATTTAAATGGATCTGGAGTCCGGTTCCGAATGGCACATACACAAATTTGTGAGCAGAAAAATTATAGTCGGAAGTGTGCAAAAACCTGTTTTTGCCTTTGTTGCATTGCTACTGGCAAGTGTTGTTTTATTTGTTTCTTTTGATCTCTCGTTATTTGTGAGCACCAACGCTGTGTTTGTTCCAAGAAATTAGCATAAATGGCAACCAGTAGTAGTACCAAAACCAATACTTCCAAGGAAGAGCAAGTTGAGAAAAACATGGAACGACTCCGACTCCAACTCCGACTCCTTCAGAAATGGAATCCCCCAAAGGTCCCCGTGTACAATGTCTACCACAGAAGAGGAATCTTCGAGTTCAAACCACCTATGTACGAGATCAAAATACTAGAAAATACAGTTTTCATCCGAGGTGAATTCGAGGAGTTTCTGTTAATGTAAATTGTAAATTGTGTAAATTACCCCACCACCAACTCCACCTACCATCTCCACTACCACCCACCACCTCCACTACCATCCACTACCACCACTCACCTACCTCACCTACTCCCAAATCCTCTCCTATATAATAGCTTGTAATATACAAAATAAATATAACAATCTTGTAATAATATATCAATCAATAATATACATCAATTTGTTTTAACATGGTATCAGAGCAAGGTTAAGGAGCTAGTAATTCTGCTTCACCGGCGGGCGGCAGCCTCGCCTTGGCCGCCCGCCGGACCTCTACACATTCCCTAGCTTCCTCTATCTCAGTCACTGTCCTAGCCCCTCCCTCGGGCATGGTCTCTCACTCTCTCTCTCCGGGGTGTGTATGTTGGGTCTCTCTGGAAGCAGATGTAACAGACGCCCTGAAAGATCAATCCTCTGAATCCCCTTCCCGGATGATGCTTCTTGCACAAAATCCCAACTCGCTGATTGACTCAACCCTCTCCTTCTCGCTGATTGACTCAACTTACTCCTTCCTCTCGTCTCCGGCGACGGCGACTTCTCGCCCAAACAAACTCCGATTAACTCACCGCGGAATCTTATCTCCAGCGTCTCCGCAGCTCAGCTCGGGCCCCAGCAGCTCAAGTACATGACTTGCCGGAGGGAATCATCGGCCTGTTTCCTTCTCTCCTCTCCGTTGCTAGTTCCCATGAACCGGCCGAGGTCGGATCCGACCATGCTGGCGAGTGGCCGGAGATCCGCCGCATCACCTCCAGATCCAGCGGACTTCAATTTGCAACCATGAGTCGCTCATGGCGTCAGCTTCGAAGCACACGATGCCGTTGGTTGCCCCTCCGCCACTCTGGTTGTTGTTGTGGCCATCAGCACAACCACCACCATCGCTGCCGCCGAGAAAGAAATCTTCGAACAACCCATCACTCTGCTTCTCTCTCTCTCCTCTGTTTCTCTCTCACTCACTATTTAGAAATAAAAGGATCCAAAATCTGGTGGATGACGCATGGCCGCTTGACCAGAGCGTGATTAAAACAAGGATGCAAGATATAACACAGAGAGCGGTCGAAAGAGAGAACAAAGGAATGTACCTTTGGCGACCAAATATTGTTTGGTAGCTAATGTGTCTACCATTGGCGACCAACAAATTTTTAGTAGCTAATTGGTATACCTTTGGCGACTAAATTTACTTTAGTCGGCAAAATTATTCGCCGAATGTGTTCTTTGTTGTAGTGCTAACAAATATCTCTATTATGAAAATATAAAACTTTAAAATAATATAACTTTTGATGTAGCTGCCGAATTTTAAGAAAATTAATATTTTTAGAATTCTTTCATTAAGAATCAAATAAGATCTATGTTAATTATGAAATTCTTTTAAAAGCAAAAATTATTACTGTTGAAATTGATATAAATAGTAACAGTTACTCTATTTGACAATCACTTTATTTGACAGTAACATATTACTCTGTCTCACAGTAATATGTTACTCTGGTTCATAGCAACATGTTACTTTGGCAATATTGTCCAAGAAAGGGGAAAAATTTTTTTTTTGTCCTTACTCAATTATGTGTTTTCTTCTTAGAGGGTTTATGAAGAAAAATAAATTATACTATCATTTTCACCAAATAAGGGTCCAATAGAGACATTTTAATTAAATTTTCCAATGAAAAATGAATGAACATGTCAAAAATTTAAAAAGGTGCCCATCGGAGCTTTTGTTGGGCCTTAGTTGCACTGAACTGCTACCCATCACTCTGTTGCCCCCACTGGGGTTACAAGCTAACATTGCTAGGCCCGGCGATTAATTAACCATTTTACACTCCTTATAAAATAAATAGATTCTTTCCACTTTAGCGATGTGGGACTTAATTACTATGCATAACAAACTTTTTAATTAAATCATATATGTGATGTTAGTGACTCTCTCTCTCTCTCTCTCTCAATCCTACCTCAAAACTCATTTCAGACCAATGAAATCTTCTTTTTTTTTTTTTCTATGAATAGCTGATTGAATTGTATTAATCTAAAAATAAAAAATTGAGTCATTTTAGAACTAAGCAATACTGGAAATGTAAATGAAGGTATTTTAAGAATTTTTCTAAAAATCATATGAGTGTACGTGTATAACATTTTTTTATTATAAATGCTCATATTTTATATAGAATACCGTTATACAAACTAAATAATAAGAGTTAATTTGTGTTTGAACAATCTTCTGTATAAATAAAAAAAAATTAAAATTAATTCAAACAAAATAAATAACGTACCGAATTTATTTATCGAACCGAATTAAAAATAAAAGACCAAGTCGAGTGTGTGACACTCTGTCGTTAAGACAGATTCGCCCCGCTACGGTGCTTACGGTTGAGTGGCGTCTATCTCCCAGAATACAATGATCTTCACAAAATTGTTGTAGCACACCAAACAAATTTGTACGGCGAATCAAACCTGTGTTCTATACTCTCAGAATTTTTTCCTAAAATAATATGAAGAATACATCTATGCAAGAGAGCAAAAGAATGACAAGAAGATGAATTTTTTGGAATGCCTTGATTGTTACAAATGGCCTGGTATTTATAGGGCCGAACAGGTAAGAAATTCAAACCGAATAGGTACAATTTCGAATTGAACAGGTGCAGTTCAAATTTCAACAGATTTGCTGGAATTGTTTAATTTGTCCAAATTGCTAGAACTGTTTGAATCTGTCCGAACAGGTATGAAACGAATGAACAGGTGCAGTTCAAAATTTGAACAGATAACCCCGGCCCGACTAATCCCCGACTCTGTCCCCGCTGAGTAATTATAATATATATATATATATTATATTATTTGATTAGGATTACTATATATATATTATAATATATATATGTATTATATTATTTGTTTAGGTGTTCTCTCTCACTCAAATCACACTCTCAGGTCTCAGCCTCTCTCCCTCTCTCTCTCTCCTGTGTAGATTGAAGATCAATGGTGTTCCCTCTGAGCTCACCGATGGTGTTGGCAGCAGCTTCCCCGTCCCGCGCCGATCTCCCTCCCTTCCACAACGACCTCCGTCCGACGCCGATCTCCCTCCCTCCCACGCCGACCTCCCTCCTTCCGACCTCACTGCTCCACACCCCGATCTCTCTCCCTTCCTCCGATCTCACACCGATCTCTCTCCTTCCCTCCGATCTGCCTCACACCAACTCTCTGCCTCCCTCAGATCGCCCTCCATTCCGTCTCTTCTACCGCCTCATCCATCAGAGCTCGGATCTGATGAAGATCAAGATGAAGAAAATGATGTGTTATGTATTTTATTTTTTATTTTTATTTTTTACATAGCTCAGATCATATCTGCCTTTCATCCAAAAATAAATAAAAAAAGGCAGATTTTTTATTTTTATTTTTTATGCAGATCTGTTGATGAAGTTCTTGTTGTTGTCAACATGTTGATGAGTGTGTGTGCTCAGATCAGATCTGATGGATGCTTATGATGTTGTTGTTGTTTTTTTTTTTTTTTTATAATTTTGAGTCTCCGGGGAATTATCGGGGTCGGGGAAACCCGATCTCCGTTGGGGGACGGGGGCGGGGGTGGTAATAGGCTCCCCGTCGGGGATCGGGGCCGGGGACGGGGAAATTCCTACCATCGGGGATCGGGGACGGGGAGTGTGATCCCCGGCCCCGCCCTGCCCCGTTGCCATTCCTAACAGCAAATGATATAATTTCCAGACTGATTTTCGGATCCTTAAACACTACTGGAATGTTGGTATTTATAAGCAACTAAATTTGACCCGAACAGGTGCAATATGGAAGTGAACAAGTGTAAACAGTTTCAAACAGATTCACAGCAGTTACATACCCGAATCTGTCTGGAAAACAGTTTGGAACTGCTGGACAGTTACGACAGTTAATACCTGTTTGAAAATTGAATCTGTTCGGCAGATTCTGTATGGAATTTGAACTGTAGGAGGCACAAATTTTGGACTAAAATTTGAATTTGAATTCGAATTCAATTTATAAAAATGCAAAATTCAAATAAATTTTTCCTGTAAGAATTTATTGAAAAAATTTAAATAAATTTTGTCCAAAAAATTAATGTTAGACCCGACCCACCATGGCTCGACGAGATGGCGATGCGCGCGTGTAGTGTTTAGGCTAAGGTTCACTTTGTCCATAACTTCTCACTTCTACAAACTTGGAGTGCCCCTTGGGGTCCAACCCAAGTGTTGTATGCTAGAGCTTATATACACAAATAAACTCTCTTAAAGTTTCAATGTGGGACAACTTATTAAAAGGAAACCCACATGTAAATCTTTAAATGTCCATTCCTCGAACCCGAAAATGATGTCATGTTCCCATTCACTCATAAATGGTTTTGACAAACCGTCTTCACCGTGTGACTTGCCACGCGGCAAAGAACACTTTACCTCTTCGGACCCACCCGAAAAGACGTTCGGGGCCCACTCAATTTTGAGCTCAAAGTTTGCCCAAAATAAGCCTATATAAACCAATTTTCCAACAATTTGGTGGTTGAAATACTCCTTTATTTGCGATAATATTCCATATTTTCCTTTATCTCTTAGTAAAAATTGAAATACTTCTGTGATAATGTTCTGTATTTTCATTTATCTCTTAGTAAAAAAAAATTATTATACAACTAATAATATTATTTCTCTATTCAGATGACTAAATCATTAACGAAAAGTGATAGTATTATTTGAATTACAGCTTTAATAGAGGTTGGTTTGGGATGTCTTAAAAAAGTGTACTTTTTGTCTTTTTACGAAAAGATGTGCAGAAAAGTAGAGAGGTGATGTGATGAAAAAAAGATAAAAAAATGAATTATATAGGTTATGCCAAACCAACCCTAAATATAATTATATCAAAAATTGTAAAACTCATTATGTATTTTTTTTAAACCTCAATAAAGATCAATGCAATTTATCCTTTCCAAACCCCCCCCCCCCTCCCTCCCCCCCTGTAGGGCTTATTTATTAAAGTTAAATACTAAATTTTATTATTCATCTACTTGATGGAACCCATGGTGAACATTATTGAACAATAAAGAAAATGAGCCACTAGTGGGAGTTTGTTTTGTTTGCTTTTTTTGTTTTTGTTTTTGTTTTTGTTTGTTTTGTTTTAGTTTTATTTTTATTTATTTTTTTGTCTTACACTAGTGGAAGTTTAATTATATATATTTTGCTTTGTTATAATAATTTATTTATTAATTTATCATAACTCGCTGAGGCTATATTATATCACGGGCCTTGTCTCTTACTCAAATGGATGTGGAGTCCGGTTCCGAATGTGCACATACACAAATTTGTGAGCAGCAAAATTATAGTCGGAAGTGTGCAAAAACCAGTTTTTGCCTTTGTTGCTTTGCTACTGGCAAGTGTTGTTTTATTTGTTTCTTTTGATCTCTCGTTATTTGTAAGCACCAACGCTGTGTTTGTTCCAAGAAATTAGCATAAATGGCAACCAGTAATAGTACCAAAACCGATACTTCCAAAGAAGAGCAAGTTAAGAAAAACATGGAACGACTCCGACTCCGACTCCTTCAGAAATGGAATCCCCCAAAGGTCCCCGTGTACAATGTCTACCACAGAAGAGGAATCTTTGAGTTCAAACGAGAAAAGTACAAAATCAAAAAACTAGAAAATACAATCTTCATCCGAGGTGAATTCGAGGAGTTTCAATTGCTCGAAAAACGAGCAATAGAAGAACATAGGAGGAAGTACATTTTTCTCCATTTTGGGTTAGTACAAGTAGCTGTGAAGCCACTGACTGCAACTGGATTAAAGAGCTCCGTGCTAGTCTGTCTGCGTGATCGTCGCTGGCTTGACTTCAGACAATCTCTATTAGATGTTGCTCAGTCTAAGTTGAGTGATGGCCCAATTTATTTTAATTGCTATCCAAGTTACCCGGTGTCTTTAACGGACCAACATATCCTTATGAACATAAACCTGAGCATCAAAACTGATGATTTACAGGAAGGGTCAGTAGTAGCGGATCATATAGCTGTTTCTTAAAGGGTTTATTACAGAGTATCCAATGATGAATCTTACAAATCAAAAGTGTCTTCCTCTGGACGCAAACCCACTTTTGTAGAGACCAATCTGCTGAGAAACGATAAGGTCAGTGTTTCCAAGACAATGGAGTGGGATTCGTTTCAAGTCCCAGAAAGATGGAATGTGAGAGAGGAGGAGTGATCAAGCCAAGCAGAAGAGTAGTTAGGCCACTGGTGGATGATGATGAATCAAGAATATTTTTGGAAAACTATAGTGTAGTGTGTATTGTGTTTGTGGTATGTCAGATATTAGTTCAGTATTGCTATATCTGTATGTATGTATAGTATACATCTACAAATAAGATAATCTGATTTGCATGTTTCTTAAAACTAACCGTACCTATAATTTGTATGCAGTCTGGATTGTGGTCTCTTTGTCTGCTATATAATGAAACAATATAGTAAGCATGAACCTATCAGCTCCAAATTGTCCACATAAGAGATAAGGTTGATGAGGGCAGAACTCATAGAGAGATTTGTGACCGAAGTTGGTCGGTCATGGACTGAACCAATTGAAATACCTCCAGAAGAACCACAAATGTAATAGTGAAACTAGTGAAAGGAAGACAATGTACATATCCACACAGAGAAAATTGTCTCACATATATGTATATATCTATACAGTATTAACCATTTAGTTTTTTTGTTGATACATTGAAGGAATGTCCTGCTACATCGGTCCGACATGACCCCGTACACTGTCTTCTACAACGGTCCGACGTGACCCTATAAACTGTCTTCTACAACGGTCTGACACGACCACACAGTGTCTGCTACCACGGTCCGACATGACCCCGTAAACTGTCTGCTACAACGGTCCGACATGACCCCGTAAACTGTCCTGCTACATCGGTCCGACATGACCCCGTAAACTGTCTGCTACAACGGTCCGACACGACCATACCGTGTCTTCTACAACGGTCTGACACGACCATACCGTGTCTCCTATCCTGTTTTATTTTATTTATCAGTTTATTTTTCTGTTTTATTACTCTCTTCAAACTCAAGTTGGTTAGTTCCTATCCTCCTTGAGTTTGAGGGGGGCTGTTAATGTAAATTGTAAATTGTGTAAATTACCCCACCACCAACTCCACCTACCATCTCCACTACCACCCACCACCTCCACTACCATCCACTACCACCACTCACCTACCTCACCTACTCCCAAATCCTCTCCTATATAATAGCTTGTAATATACAAAATAAATATAACAATCTTGTAATAATATATCAATCAATAATATACATTAATTTATTTTACAGTTTCAATTGCTCGAAAAACGAGCAATAGAAGAACATAGGAGGAAGTACATTTTTCTCCATTTTGGGTTAGTACAAGTAGCTGTGAAGCCACTGACTGCAACTGGATTAAAGAGCTCCGTGCTAGTCTGTCTGCGTGATCGTCGCTTCCTTTACTTCAAAGATTCTCTGACAGCTGTTGCTCAGTCTAAGTTGAGTGATGGCCCAATTTATTTTAATTGCTATCCAAATCACCCAGTGTCTTTATCGGACCCACATATCCTTATGAACATAAACCTGAGCATCAAAACTGATGATTTACAGGAGGAAGGGTCAGTAGTAGCGGATCATATAGCTGTTTCTTACAGGGTTTATTACAGAGTATCCAATAATGAATCTTACAAATCAAAAGTGTCTTCCTCTGGACGCAAACCCACTTTTGTAGAGATCAATCTGCTGAGAAACGATAAGGTTAGTGTTTCCAAGACAATGGAGTGGGATTCGTTTCAAGTCCCAGAAAGATGGAATGTGAGAGAGGAGGAGTGATCAAGCCAAGCAGAAGAGTAGTTAGGCCACTGGTGGATGATGATGAATGAAGAATATTTTTGGAAAACTATAGTGTGTATTGTGTTTGTGGTATGTCAGATATTAGTTCAGTATTGCTATATCTGTATGTATATATAGTATTAGTATGAGCTCTCTGTTGGTCTTTGTTGGTTATAATATTGCTGTGTATTTGTTGGTATCAACTCTTTGGTAGCTGGCTGCTTATTGCATGTTAAAATATTAGTGTGTATTATCTTTATCACATGTGATATGAGGTGAATATTTTTATCTCCAACTAATTCAAGTCGCCATCACCACTATCACATATGACATTAGTGGACATTCATTCTCTTCGATTAATCTAATCATGTAGTTAACATCATTATTGTGATATATATAAAATTTCTCATTATTAATAAAATACTAACGTATAATATTCTATTATATCTAAATATTTAGCATTGTGATCACACTAATTGTACTATGAAAATTTTAGGGGAAACAAATTAAAACATGGAGGTGTAAAAATTTTAGTTGCCATAACGGAGTGGTATTTTGTTGATATCTATTACATTTTTGAAATAAAAAATTTCATTTCATTTCATATCATAAGGTTGTAATATATCATCATAATATAAAAATTATCAATTTATAATTCTTTCTAATCATTTTTGTGATTAGAAAATCCAAATTCATTGATGTAAATCTTTTATATAATGTGTGGCACTATCCTCCCATGATGAAAAGATCCACTAACATCTACTTTCATACTCATTAAACCTCACAGTTTTTATTGTCACAGGTTAAACCAAATGACTTAACCCACAAGTCCAGCCTCCACTAAAAATTTCCACCTAAAATCCAACTAGTCACATCTCTTAATGGTGGCCAAACTTCTTATTTATCAGAAGGGTAAATCGCACTGATAATCTCGAGTTTGGGGAGAAATTTTATTCTAATTTTTGTAATATTAATTTTAATAATTTAAACTTTAAATTTTTAATTTTATTATAATGTAATATATCTTCATCATGTCATTGAGTTTTGAAAAAAAAAAAATCATGCCCAAAATTATAATTTTAATTTTATAAAAAAAATTATATAAATTTATAAAAAATATATTAATTAAATAATAATAAGTTATTCAATTTATTACTAAAAAATTAAATGGATTATAATTATCAAATTCGACTGAATTTTTTTTTTAAAACCCAACAAAAAATGAATGGACATATCAAAAATTAAAAAAAGTGATGGTCCAATTAGGTTCAACCCATCGGAGATTTGTTGGGCCATAGTTGCACCGAACTGTTATCCTTCCACTGCTGAGAGTGAGAGGTTATCGCTGCTCTGTGAGGCCAGCCTAACGCAGTACCCTCCACTTTAGTAACCACACAACCCAAGCTTTCGCTTGGCCCGCATGGTTCATGCTCTCAGCTTGGACAGGACAGCCCAGCAAATTAGCAACACAAGCCCTATCCTTTGGGCTGAGCCCATGTTCCATCACCCTGTTGCCCCCACTTGGGTTACAGGCTAACGTTGCTAAGCCCAGCGATTACTTAATCATTTTACACTCCTTATAAAATAAATACATTCTCTCCACTTTAGCGATGTGGGACTTAATTACTATGTCTAACAAACTTTTTAATTAAAATCATATATTTGATGTGGCTGACTCTCTCTCTCAATCCTACCAAAAAACTCATTTCAGACAAATCTAATCTTTTTTTTTCTATGAATAACAGATTGAATTGTATTAATCTAAAAATAAAAAATGGAATCATTTTAGAACTGAACAATACTGGAAATGCAAATGAAGTAATGCAGCACAATTGTAATTTTTGAAACTCGGGAAAAATGCATTTTTGGAAACAATCTATTATGTTGGTCTACTATATATATCCAAAGTGGTCACGGGTCGGTTGCGGACACAGAATTTTCAATCTGTCATCCATTCGTCAGGTTGGCGGATTAGAGAAAATCAATCCACATCTGTTTGTCAATCCGGCGGATATGGATTGAGCGGATTAGTGGATGAATGTGAATCGATTTAATGGTTTAAAATTTTATAAATTTTCAACGTAATTCAACTTATGCACTTCCTTACAAAAAAAAAAAAAAAAAAAAAATTATTACAGTCAATGACTTAAAAAAGTATTACAATAATTGCATGTCTCATCCAAAGAAAGAAAATTTGAAACTTTAGAATTATTATAATCACTGCATGCCCCATCCACATATTACAATCACAGCATGCCTTATCCAATAAAGTATTACAATCTGTGGTTCTTAAAATATAAAAATAATTCAAACTACCAAAACTATGAACAGAGCAGTAGTAGAGATTGTATGCCTTTATATTGTTACATCTATATCTGTTTTGAAAACAAAAACTAACCAACACATATCAACTTTTTTATTTATTATTTTTAAAGTTAGATTTAAAAACCAAAATATATATATATATATATATATATATATAGATAAATAATACATTTATCTTTTTCAATTCCAAAAATATATTTAAGTTGCAAACTCTTTTTCAACAGAATATTTAATTCTTTTTCAATTGAAAACACAAATAAGATATCTAAATATATTGAAAACACAAAGTCTTACAAATTACTAGGGTGCTCGAGGTTTGGCAGTTCGGTTGCGGCTAAAGGAACCTCAGATCTGTCATTTGTCCAAAACTAGGCGGATTTGAAAAAATCAATCCGCAATCGTCCGCTCATCATCACGCATCCGTCCAAAATGCAGCGGATCAGTTTGGTTCAGTCGGTTTGGACAGATCGGTATATTTACTGCTCACCCCCTACCCCAAACCCATCCAAAGTGAAGTTTATGCTTGTATAAAATATGGTATGTTCTTAAATGCTCGAGTTTAGAAAAACTAAATATGGTTTTGTAAATGAATAATGTTATATGCACTAATTAATGTACTAACTGTTATACCAATTGATGATGTAACATAATTTAAGAAGTTTTTGATATTTGTAATATGTATAATAAGTAGGGTTAATAATAATGTCATAACTAGTATTAGTACACTAGTTAGTACACTAATTAGTACATGTAATACCACCGTTTGTAAATTTGAAATCTGAGAACATTGGAGATGTATGGCTCCAGGTTTACTGATGAACATTATTAATTTTCTTGTTTAACAACGGAACAAAAAAAAATTGAAAACTTTTCACACTTTTTTAATATGAATTTATTTCAACCAGATAATTTATTCGTTCTCTTTTTTATTCTTCCCCAATTTTATCCTCCATTTGCAAAATTACCCTCTCTAACAAATTGACCCAACTCACCTATATGTATACTCAGTGTGGGGATACATTCTCTGAGCACTAACACGTGGCAAGGTGACGCCGACGTGTCAGCCGAGGTGCCACGTGTCCTGGTCGTGACGCCGAGGTTATCTCGGCAAGGCCGAGGTAGTCTCCGAAGATATCGGAATCCGAGATAAACGGATAAGGGACAAGAGTCCTAGAATAAAGAGGAGACTTAGTCAAGATGAGGATAGATCTCTTAGAGAGTTTATCCTAATCTTACTGAGAGTCCAAGATTAGCAGTAATCCTGAGTCCATAGAAGTCAGGCTTCTATTGGGACTAGGTTTATGTTGGCTATAAAAGAGAGGTATCCACATGGGTCTAAGGTATGCTTTTGATACTCAAGCTTATGAGTTTAGCACTTGATTTATCTTTGAGAGATATACTGACTTGATCGTCGGAGTGCCCCCGGGTGGACGAACCACCGCCGGAATCTTCTCTTTCTGTTACAGATCAGCCAGGTGTCATCTATTTTGCCGGTGCTCTCCAGCTGGTTACTAAGCGGACAGTGTGGTCGGAAAATTTCCCACACACTCAGAATAACCCTGCACCAACCCACATATAATCTCCCCCTAACCTTAATATCACTAATCAAATAACTCTCACCCCTCATTTTCATTGAATTTTTTTTTTTTTTCAATTTGATTGTTTTGTGTATTAATTTATGAAATATGATTTTAAATAATGTCATGCATTCAATTAATATAGTTTTGTGTCACGATTTAACATAAATAATCAATTTTTGTTTGAAATTGTAAAAATTAAAATTATATGGTCATTAATAATATTCTTTCCAATTATTTATTTTTAACTGACTTGACCTACTAAATCGTTGGTTCGAATCTACCAAATTGAATCAACCTCCAATTTTTGGGATAGATCTGTTGGGGCAGATTAAAAAATTCTTAATCCATGGTTGGATTGGTACACCTTAGTGCTTAGACCATCTCCAATGACAAATGCTATACCAGCATTGTCATTGCCAATTATGGCAATGAATAGTAGTGTTTGGCTCAAATTATAGTAATGGTGCTCTAGTGAAAGGCCGTCATTTTTGCCATTTTTGCCATTTTTGCATAGAATAGGCGGTCGTTCGGTCGTATGTCCCACACACACTAATTTCCAGTTTTTGTTCTGCAAAAATGGCGAACGGGAGGGAGGAAGGAATATTTTGTTGGAAGGAAAGGGTGAAGAGAAGTTTATCCTTCTTTTTTCCCCCACTTTTTTAGGACTTATTTATTAAAGTTAAATATTAAATTTTATTATTCATGTACTCGGTCGAACCCGTGGTGAACATTATTGAAAAATAAAGAAAATGAGCCACTAGTGGGAGTTTGCTTTGTTTTGCGTTTTTTTTGTTTTTGTTTTTGTTTTTGTTGTTTTTTTTTTTTTTCACACTAGTGGAAGTTTAATTATATATATTTTGCTTTGTTATAATAATTTATTTATTAATTTATCATAATTGATTGAGACTATATTATGGAGTAATTGCTTTTTAGGTTTTTACCAAGTTCTCTCAAAAAAAGCCACAAAAAAGCCACCGAACAAGCCAATTTTTTTACCAATTTTTCAAAATACCCCTATATCAAATACACAACTATGTGAGCACCAAAATTATAGTCGGAAGTGTTTAAAAACCTGTTTTTGCCTTTGTTGCTTTCCTACTAGCAAGTGTTGTTTTATTTGTTTCTTTTGATCTCTCGTCATTTGTGAGCACCAACGTTGTGTTTGTTCCAAGAAATTAGCATAAATGGCAACCTTGCTTGTTTTCATTTTAAAAAAAATACTTTTGAGAAAATTTTATTTTTTTATTTTTTGTGTTTTTTTTGTTTTTACTAAATTTTTTTATTATTTAAAAAAAAAATTACTTTTTAGACACACCTAACATAAATACACCTAAAAAGTAAAAAAATTGTAAAAAAAATCTTTTAAAAATTCACTAAATACTAAAAATAC